CCATCCCAAATATCTCTGGTCTAATACAGCTGCTAGGGGTTGGGATGCATCTTCCCAGGAGTTTCGCTAGCTCTCTCTTCCATGAGGCTCAGATATTTTGGAGATAACCTCCTTGCCGTTTTGTAAGGATGTTGCCCCATGTTTTCCTGCATCAGACCTCCCAGGCCTGGCCGTGCTGTGTCATCCCCCCTCAGATGTTTCAGGAGTACCCCAGGGCCAGGGGCATCGCCAGGACTTGAGAGGTAAATCAGGAGAACCAAAGGGATTTTCTCAAACCAGGAGCACGGCGGGCTGGGCTTGCTCCCTGCTCTATGAAATCAAACTCTTTAATATCTCCCTGCCTAGAACAGGTGAAAAACTTATTACAGAAGACAACTCTTGAACAGACTCTGGACAGACAGGCTCATGGATGATGCTGCGGGCATCACACCTGCGCTGTGAGGCTCCACAGACTGGCCAGGAGCTGGAGTTCATCACTGGGCGCCTCGAGAGCTGCAAGCAATAACACAGCCTGGTAATGAAAGCCTTAGTTTGCAATAAACTGATCCTTTGCTTTTTCATTTAAGAACAAAATAATGGCCATGGCAGTTTAAAGGTGGATTTCCTTCTCTTCTTCCCCCACCCCTCAGACTGACGGGTTTAATGCTGTCTCCACTGCACAGTGATTCCCTGATTCATCACTTTGGCAATAAATTGAACAGAGTATGTCCATTAAATACCTCATTTTCCTTCAGCAGCTTGGGCACTCGGTCAATTTTACAGAAAAAAAAAAAAAAAAGAGCCAGGAAATGCCAAAAGGTAAGACAAAAAAGCCAATGGCCAACGACTCCGTGATGACTAATTGCCCGTCCTGATGAAGCCATCGCACACTAATGGGTCTCACACCTCGTGGGGGGATGTTCCTGACACTCAGCCCCAGAAGGTGAAGTATTTGCTGAAACGAAGTGACACTCTTGCCTGTAGCCTCTGCTCCAGCCACACAAGCCCAGGGGCCATGAGTCCTATCAAGCGACAGTTTTTCAAGCTGACTGGCTGAGCCCACCACGCTTGCAAAACAAGATTTAAATCTCCATGAGCAAGGTGGTTACCCTGAATTACAGACCTTTCAGGCATGGGAAACTTTGTGAGCACCCTCTTGCATGGGCCCTCCCCTCCTGCTGCGACAAACGTCTCTGGCCGCGCTCCCCACGGGCTCGCTGTAGTCTGGCACTGGCAACGTCAATGGAAACGCAGCAGAAATTCTGAAATTTGCTGTTTACGGGCAAATTGGCTGCATCAGCAGGGCGGGACCAGCTCCACATCCCCCGCCTCCCCCAGATCTGCACCCCCTGGGATGCTCCAACGGGTCCTCTGGTCCCCGAGTACATCTGCTCTGTGTGACCTCGCTCACTACACCGACACGGAGGGACACAGAAAACACTGCTTTATTGACTGCATTTGCCAACACATTGAGGAATGCAAAGGGTTTTTCTTTCATAAGCAATGGGCCATGGTCCCAATGTGTATTAAAGCATACACTGTATCTAAACAGGATGAAAATAATGGCAGACAGAGCTATTCCAAGGCAACACAAATAGCATGCATAATACAGTCTCACACAGAACGAGTTTGGTAACATTATATTGCTTTAAGGATTAACTAACATGGAAAATGTACAAAAAGGAGAAATAGGTTTTTGCATTAATGAAAAATACATTTTTTCTCTACAAAGGAATTTCTAATACAAGAAAATAAATATTGCAACATAAGCCAAAAATAATTTAAAATTGCTCTTTTCAATATATTTTCAATAGTTCTCTTCTATATTAACAAATGGCACATCACGTTCTTTGAAACAAAGAAAACAGAAGGGTTTCTCCTCCTGCGACATTCATATCGTTTCCTGTAACTGATGTGAAGTGGGTCGGTTTTGAATGTGGAATGGCGCAAACTGCGGAGGGATTTCCTTAAAGAACAACCAAACCTCACGCCTGCCCTGCACCAGCACCCATCCTGCTCTCGTCTCCCAGATGTGTTTTGCACCCGGCTCCATGGGACGGCAGGCAGCCAACACCCCCCCCCCCCCCCCAAAAAATGGGGACGCCGGAAAAAACAAGAAA